AATTAAAATAAAATAAAAATTATAAAAATTACTTAATTACAATACTGCCCTTTTTAAATTATTTATATATAATAAAAGTTAATTTATTAATTAAAAAAGTTTGTGKTTATTRAGTTGTTCTCGCGTTTTCGTAAATCACAGGGGTTCTCGTTTGAACCTCCACCTATATATATATATATATATTGGGTTCTAATGAGAAGAGAAACTATGATGAGAAACATAAAAAGAGATCTCCATATTTGGATCAATACTAATTGAATGTCAATACTAATCAGGTACACCGAGATGCATCAGATTAATTTTCCTCTAAAGCGTAATTCATGGGTGAATATGATAATAAAAGTGATCAAAAGTTCAGATCTCTTCTTACATTTTTCACCAAAACTTTCATTCTCAGACGGTCCTTCGCCTATATGTATATATATATATATATATATATATATATATATAGGCTCATTCAAAGAAGAACTGATTAGTTTGTGGTAACACTGATCCAATGTGAACCACTCATTTGAGATATTTAAGGATATTTCTTAAATAAATTAAAAGTTTAATATAGTAATTCTATTTTTGACAATTAATCAAAATATTTAATTAATTTATTTAAAATGAAAATATTTAATTAAAAATTAGTTACCTAGTATATCAATTACCCAATATACATCATATTTTAAAAACATTTTGTGAATCAAAGTGTATCATAGTGATAACGTTCGTAATGTTTCACGTGTATTACAATGTATTTTCTTTGTTTTATGAAATGTATCATAGTGTACATTTTTGTTATTTTCATTGCTTTACAAATGGTATCACATTATGCATCTTGTATGTATATATGGGTATCACAGTGAATATCATTTGTAGGCATCACAATGTGTATCTTGTGTTTACATAAGGTTCATCGGAATATGGTTCGCGGAATAAGATTCGCCGGAGAGAGGAAATAGGGGAGATGAGAGATGATACATATAAAATCATCAAGGGGCCGTTTACCAAACGCTTACCCGGGTAAACGCTTATCAAGTCACGTTACCTCACCGAGTGAATATGGTATGAACCAAGAATTTTACCCGGTAAGAACGAGACAAGGACCAAGAGTCTTACCTAATAAGTGAGGGCGGTGACTCTTACCATGATAAGCGCTTACCAGGTAAATTGTTACATGCAATGTCGTTTTGGTTGACTAAAATCTTACCCGGTAAGTAAATAGTAATATTAAACTTACCGGGTAAGTATTTGGTAAACGGCCCCTAAAATGCCCTTAATTAATATTTCAAGTTTAAATTACTAAAATTATTAATTTTCTAATTTAACCTTTGATTTGTGGTTGAGATTGGATCTCACGGTTACCACAAACAAAACAGTTCTCATTTGATTAGACCCTTATATATAGATGATTTTAAATCGGGAAATTAATTAAAATAATCATTTTCGACTTGTGATTTCATCTCTAGCCATTTCTCTCCTAAAATCACCAAAATGTCACTAGATTCGCAAGTAGCATGTCCGCAATTCTTGGAGGGGTAAATAACGGAAAAAGAAATTTTGAACCAGATCCCCAAGTACGTGGACCAAATCTGTAAAATAGCTATAGGTCACCAAGGTCGGCGGTTTGGAGGTGATTGAATTAACTTATAGATTTGGTCCCTCGATTAACAGGTCTGGTTTAGAAACTCTTTTACATTTTGACCTCTTAACAAATTACGAGCCTAACAACATCGGAAAATGTCAATTTTAATTAATTTTTTCTTTTAAATTGTTATTTGTCTTATTATTTAATTTTGTTTATTAATTTATCAATTAGAAATCATTAACAAATATCTCATTAATTAACAATCTACTTTTATGTAGCATCTAATTTATTAGTTAGAAGTTAAGTTATCAATGAATTTATCAAACATAACATAAATATTATTAATGATAAAAGTACATCAAAATAAATTAATGCAAACTGTTTAAGAAATGGGTGTGATTTTAGATCAAACCATCAACTGTTGGACATTTGGCATCTAGAAAAAGTTATTAGCTGTCTGCCGCTGCCAAAATGCGAATGCCATTCTCTTTCTTCCCCCATTCCCATTTGGAGTCCCCCCAAACCCTTTCCCAACTCCTCACACCGCAATCTGCAAACGCAGCTTAGGGAAAGAAGCAAGAATCCAAAGACTACCAGACTCTCTCTTTCCCACAAGTCTTTCTTTTACTTTCTCGAGAAAGTTACTATAAACTCTGTTTCAATCTCTTTTCCGTACAAGTTCATTTGTCACCACCCTACTCGCCCATCAATCCAGCTCTGCCTTGGTTTGTTTTCTTTGATCTTGTAGGAATATGTTGCCTGAAAAGCCTGTTCATGCATCATGGGTCTTCCGGTCTACGATTCACTGGTCTTTTAGGGTTTTGGTGTTGGCTGTTGTTCTTGGATTGATGATCTTCTGGGCTATTGATAGTCTCGATGTTAGTGACTTTCACAAAGATTTTCTTGTCAAGTTTGATGTTAATCTTGTTAAAGGTCTAAAGAATTTCAGCACCACCAACGGTTCTGATGTTTCTATCAATTTCAATTTGACGAACCAAGAAAATCAAGATTTCGCCGGAATCCAGGAAGTTTCACCAATTAAACCCTTAAATGATACCACGGATCTGGTTAATGTTACCGGAAAACCTCCAGCTCCAGTGATTCTGAAGTGGGTTTCGGCTGAGCTAGACCCGGATTACTCATCGAACCTACTGGCACGGTGGCTGACTCCTGGTGGGGAGCCATGTAAAGATTCAAGCACAGAAGATATCTTTATCCAGGGTCTGGATAATCTTGATCACCAAATTGACTTATGGGCTGGAGACAGACACGAGTATGTTATCCAAGCATTGGATAACTCCGGTAGACCGCGGTGTTTGGGTGGTGATTATTTTGAAACTGATCTTTCCGGTGATGCCTGGAAATCTCGTCCCCCAATCAAGGATTTTGGCGATGGTAGATACTCATTTTCCCTCCAAGTTCATCCCGATTTCGTCGGGGATTATAATCTAACAATTATTCTATTGTTTAGACACTACCAGGGCTTGAAGTTCTCGCCGGAGCGATTCGCATTCGATAAAGTTCTTCGTGTATTTCCGATCACTTTTAAGAACTCAAACTCATCTCACCGGTTGCCGGAAATAAGAAGATGCAAGAAATCCGATTACACGAGGGATGCTTGGGCAGGTCGTTGGACACGACATGGGAAGAACGACGAGTGTATGATCAGCAAAGATGGCCGATACAGATGCCTCCAACGCGACTACCCATGTAAGCATCCATGGTGTGATGGATCGTTGGGATCCGTGGAGAGTAATGGTTGGGTCTATTCGACCCATTGTTCATTCAAGCTGTTTGATGCCAAAGCAGCTTGGAGATGCTTGAATAATCGTTGGCTCTTCTTCTGGGGGGATTCGAATCACTGTGATACCATTCGAAACATGCTTAATTTTGTGTTGAATGTTGAAATCGCCACTGTTCCAAGGCTGTTTGATATGAACATTACCAACCCAAAAAATCCGGGTCAGTCGGTTCGGATCACCAGCGTTTTCAACGGTCACTATAACCACACAGGCAACTATCAGGGTTTAAATTCGCTCTACAACGATGCTTACAGAGATTACCTGAAGAAGTATTTTTCCGGCGAAATTGTTCCGGACACATTAATCATGAATTCGGGTTTACACGATGGGGTTTATTGGCCTAATTTGAGAAAATTCACAAAGGGTGCCCAGGATGCTGCTGCATTTTGGGCAGAGGTTCTTGGCGGGGTGAGGCGGAGAAAGGTTGTGGTACCGGAGGTCATATACAGGACGACGGTGGCCACTGGCGGGTATGCGCGGAGATTGGTGTTCAATCCCAACAAAATGGAAGCATTCAACGGTGTGTTGCTAGACAAGCTGAGGCAGTTTGGAGTAATTGATCATGTGGTCGATCATTTCGACATGACTTATCCTTGGCATTTCGATAATCGATGCAATGATGGGGTGCACTACGGAAGAGCTCCGGCGAAGATGCGGTGGAGGGACGGTCAGATTGGGCACCAGTATTTTGTTGACCTCATGCTGTGTCATGTGCTGCTGAATGTACTGTGTGCAAGATAGCGTGGGTTATAGCCGAGATAATACAAGTCGGCGAATTGCATAGGTCATGGTCGTGTTGTATGCCATCATGTATTTTTGATTTTTTTATATGCCACTTACAATGTAGTTGAGGCCCGTATGGGTGTAATGGTGATTCTTTATTATATTTCTTTCCTTGTAGTATTTTTCTCACTAAATATTAGTAATAAAATTAAGAGTTAATTACAAAAATCCATCCTTGTTTTCCTTTTTATACCTAAGTCAATTCATTACAAATTTGTGTACGACATTAAGGGCTAGATCCTAAACCGTATAAAGTAACTATAATGAAAACAATATCAGAAGATCTGTTTGTTCGTGTTAATATTATTCTGAAGATCAGTTACGGGTTTTCTTTTCTTTATACATAGATGATTTTTTTGAAGAAATTCCTAGATTTGTCGATTTCCGTTATTTTCTTATGACTTCACGCTTGTTAGGTGAGGGATTTATTGAAATGAAATGGATCATGGTGGGTGATAGCTTAAATAAAGATGGAGCTACCTCCATTTTTTAAGAAAGAGACCGTATTTTTAACTAAGATAATGAAGAGTAATGTTTATAACAAAGACAAGTTATTTGTGAAATTCAATGTGGATTGGGGCATCTCCAATCCAACACCAGTATAAATAATGAGTATTTTGTAATTTTAAATTGTGGTTGAGTTTTGTGTATCTCACATTTATTGAGAGATGAAAAATTAAAAATAAATGGTTGGTATATGAAGGGAGGATAAGATGCCTTTATTGCAACTCATGAGGTTGACTCTTTTTGACCGATCATATAAACTCATATTGTTTGATCATTTTGATCGACCCTCCATACTCATGGCTTGACTCATTTTGGCCAATCACTTTTGACAAGAAAGTCAACCATACAAAATTTAGAATAATTTTTTTATAAGATTTAAGTATTTTTAAATTTCAAAGTATGGTTTTATTTTGGTTATCCAACATTGATGGGAAATTCTTAGTTTAAAAAATTAATATAGATATAAAAGGGTGTTATTCTCTTAAAAATAAAATGTTAGTTGGGTAAATGACTACATTCATCTTGCAGAACAAAATTATTTGTATGAAATCTTAACATATAGTAAAGAAAAATGGAAGACATATAATATGTAATATTATAGTTACTTATTTCAAAATCTTGATGTATGATGTGATTTTGGTTATCCCATATTAATGACATCTTTATTGTGAAGAATAGCTGTGAGTATATGAAAGAATGATTTTTTTTTTGAAAATGATAAGGTTAATAATCGTTAGATCCATAAACTGATTATAACAACATATCAATTAATAAAAAGAATTTAGGAGGAAATCATCATGTCATTGATTATTAAACTGTAGTTTGAATACAAGAATGATTTACATAAAGAATCTTAAGAATATCTATATAAAATGAATATATCTATGTGAAGTTGTTAAGATCATTACTAAAACAGTTCTAACAAACTCTTATTTAGACAAGAATGGCTTTGCTAAAAATAAAATACATTAAAGAACAAACAAATAAGCATTGAACACGTGGCCTAGTATCTTGACTTCAATCTTCAAACTTGAGAAGTAATTTTGAACAAATTGGCTAAGTATCTAACTTTGGACAATGTATCCAGAGTTAGTCTTCAAACTCTGTATGCAAGCTAGTCGAACTCTGAATACACTTTATCTGAACTCTAAAGTCTTTCACACTTATACTTTTCTCCTCTTCCGAACTCTGGAAATACTAACTCAGACTTGATACTGAACTCTAGAACCATTAACTTAGAGTTAAGTCCGAACTCTGAATTAACTTTGATTGCAAGTCTTCAAACTTTCAACTTAGAAAATTTCTTTAAATTTTGAACCAAATTTTTTTGAAGTATATAATATTTATATACAGCAAATACAACAAATAAACTCACACACCCTCCTCACTATGGTGAGATTTGAACCCCTGACCTTCTAGAAGATCAAAAACTATGATAACCCTAGGCCAAATGCCTTTTGGTAATTTTGAAACCAACTTCATATTATCACAATCTCCCCTTTTGGATTAAATTTTTCTATATATATATATATTGTCACATCCAGCTAAAGCGGAAACACGAGATGTAACAGGTAAGCGAGTCACAATAACAATTAATAAATAACACCTTTCAATTTTTACAAAATAAAACGAGTTTAATATCATAACCAAATTTTGATAAATATTTCTTTTACAAAAACTTCCATTGCGAATTTAATCGGTTTTGCCACAAGTATGCTCCCAAAGTACTTCATTTCTTACTTGTTACCTGAAAAGCATGAAACATAAAACGAGTCAACTACAAAGAGTTGGTGAGCTCACGGGTTTTCACATGCATAAAACATTTTAATGCATAAACCAATTACTTGCAAACTTATGCGTAATCTTTTTGCACTTAATAAATGTAAATCTACCACGATGTACAAACTTGAGACGCTACTGAGCCTTACCTGACCAACATGCCCCATTATTTTACGAACGACCATAAGTAGCCCGTACACATACTTAGGTCCCACAGTTCGTAGTAGTACTAATTCAGCGGTGGTCCAAATTCCACATGATTAGACCAAGAAAACATAGGTAATTTGCACCCTTTCTAGGTGGGACTGTCAACACAATAACGGCTATCCACAATACCACGGCCCGGAAATGTGCCTGAGTTAACAAGTAGCGTTTACGGACGGGGACTTTATTTGAAAAATATACTCTCAAGCACATCAATTTAGTATTTATTTTATAGTGCAATAATAGTCAATATTTCATGACATAATAAATTTGACTAAACAGTTCTTTAGTCCGATGATTTCAAACAAAGCTTAACTAAACAGTTCTTTAGTCCAATGGTTTCAAACAAAGTTTGACTAAACAGTTCTTTAGTCCAATGCTTTAAATAAATAAACAAGCATAGTTTGCTTAATCTCATGCTTTTCCCCCAATAAAAATAAACAAAGCATTAAAAGTGGGGCCGTGAGGACTCACAAGTTTAAAAGTGAATATCCAAGAAGATGACGTCTGAAGCTTTCAACGCCCACCCTAACTTCCTAAACAGACCAACATCTAGTATTTAGATCACTTATGGGTCCTTGACAAAGATAAAGTTAAGTTGTATCCCATGCAATGCCATCGGGTTTTATAAATTAAAGTTGACATTTTATTATTTATTTTAAAAATAGTTCAAAAATTATATATTAAAAGAAATCGAAATCCTTTACTCAAAAGCTGATTTTTGGACAGATTATACATTCTGTTCCAATTATTTTTGGGTTTCACAAATCACTATAAATAGGAACCTTCCAAAAGTCATTTTTATGTCCAACATTTCACATCATTCAAAATAATGATATCTGTCGATTTTTCCAAATATCAAGAAATTTGAGTGGGTTTAAGTCACTCATTATTACCCTACAATCTATAATTACACAGCCCCCAAAACAGATTGCACACTCTTCGAGTGACAACCATTTACTCAACACTTTCTGAAGATTTTAAAACTACCAAAAAACGGTAAGTCTTCAGAAATTATTTTCCGATTTCATTAAATTTTGAAGATGCACAAATCGATTTGGGATGCATGCAAGATTCTTCCATACTTCAAAACATATTTTACATGATCGGACTTTGCATGCAAAGAGGCTTTCTCCTACTTTCTTAAAAATCAAAGAATATGGATCATGGATTATCATCCTTTTTGAAGACATTCTCATGTATTTGATGAATAATCTCCCCTCTTTATTTTTCCAGAATTTTAACTAAAAAGCGAAGAAGTGGGAGTAGGAAGATGAAAGCTGTTGTTATTTACAAGGGTAAGATAACTAGAATCATACATTTGTCTTAAAATCTTGATTATTTTTTAACGATTGACAGAATTTTTCTGAAGATTTGCTTGAAGGAATCGGCTGGAGGGTGGTTTGTTTTAGAGAGAGAGATTAGAGAGATGAAAAGATTAAACTAAGAGAGTTTGGAAATGAAAGTTTTTCAAAGGATGTAGGGGTATTTATATGAGGATTTTAAAGAAGGTAACGGGCTGGCCCCTCAAGGCCCAAACCCAATAAAACTTTTTATTTTTCAAAATAAGAATAAACCCACTATATAATTTACCCAAATATAAATAAAATGACACTATTAATTTCCAAACTCCATCTTTTAATAAATTATGTGGACATTCAAATGAGACTTTTGTATTTTTATTTAAAATTTATAATATCAACTTTATTTTATTTGGAGAATTACTAAAATATTTGGCATTACACAAGTTAACTTTATCAGTTACCCGTCAAGGTGTGATCTTCCAAATTAAACTTGAGAACTAAGTCAGATGAACTCTAACTACCATGACTAGATCCTAGTAAATTTATAATTCTAAATATAGGATCTATAATAAAGTGCTAACCTGAAACTCAGAAGTGACAGAATGTCACAGTCTTTCCATGTCAAAAAAATTTCGTCCCGAAATTTATTCATCAATCCAGATCATGACTCGCTTGAGAACAAGTGAGGATACTTGCTTTTCATGAAATCTTCTCTTTTCCACGTGTACTCCGGCCCATGCCTCGAAGTCCAACGAACTTTTACAATTGGAATCTTGCTACGCCTCAATTGCTTGACTTTATGGTCGAGGATTTCAATCGG